AATCCACTTACTCCTACTCTGTTTTTACACACAAACACAAACATACGTTTCTATGCGGACACATAAATATGAATAAGTTCCAGCAAAAACACATGCAGCCAGTAAGCTAAAACCACATAAATAACAAGGTACAAACCCAAAGCCAAGACTTGCTGCCAAACTTTTACTTTCTCTGTCCCCACTTGTCTTCCTCTTTGCCTCTGTCATTCTTTCTCTTTCGCTGAAATCCTGCCCGTCCCCCTTCATCAGACCAGGTGTGTAGAAAAAAAACTTAACCTAAACAAATCAACCATAACTCAATAAATTATCTACATTTTAAAAAAAGATGGCTGACAGTTGTAACTGTTATCATTCTCACACTGATTGATGGAGTCCTCATCCTCAAAGGTAAGTACAGAGACTTACAAGAGCAAAACATGCTTTTAAAGATTTGGTAAACCTGTGATTAGGCCTGGGTAATAAAACATTTATTTTGAACATCAGAAAAGTTGTGAAGATTGTTTTCAACTTGATGTAAAGGAAAAAAAGGGACAGGGCTTTTAGAAAAGCTTGCCTCGGGGAGCGTATATGTTCTTACAATGTGCTGTATTGTGACTAACTCTTCTGACAGGGCTGCAGCTGGCTTCTGAGAGGATTCTTTGGGGAGTGTGCGAGGGGTGTGAGGTGAGAGAGTGTGTGCATGTATGTGTGTGTGTGTGTGTGTGTGTGTGTGTGTGTGTGTTTTGTAAACCAGACATCCCCCCCCACCCCCCTTTACCCCCAGCACTTCTGCTGGGAGGAATGTGTGGTCCGCCTCCTACGCTGGACCACTGTGCCAACATTCCTGACTGAACAGAAAAGGAGAAAGAGGGAGCGAAAAAAAGGAGGACGGAGGGACCAAGAGAAAGAGATTGAAATGTGGGACTAGGGTGATGTGGAGATCTGCTTTTGATAAAAAGAGTAGGGGTGACACTATGTACAGGGATTGTTAGAGAAAGCGAGGGGGCTTGAGAAAAAGAGGAGACCATTGTTCCCTAAATTGCCCCTAAGGCCCCATCATAACCCCTTCAACCCCATAACCCCCATACACACACACACACACCCTAAAAGCCCGCAGGGGTTTCCTGGAATGCCATCCTTTACCAGGAGCAGATCCTGGCTTCTGAATAATGAACCCGCAGACACACACACACACACAGTCTAGTTTCTCGCTGTGTCACACACACGGTGAGTGAATCAGGTTGATCGCTGATACTTGATGAGTAAATTTTTTTCAATGTCTTGCGCTGCCTCGCAAAAAATCCCCAATTCAACAGAATAAATAGTTCACACACACAAATACACACACACCTCTTAAAACTAACTCTAGCGTCAAAACGTCAAGCTGTGACCTGCCATCGACCTTTCCCACATCCAGCGAAGCAGGAGCCGCAAATTCACCAGCTCAGTGCGAGGCAGACCTGCAGGGTGGGTGAGTGTGAGAAGGAATCTGAGATGGCAGACTGTCCACTACACACTGACCCCTGGATGCCCTTTTCACAGCTAGCATGCTCATTCACACTCTATCACAAACACACACACACACACACACACACACACACACACACACACACACAGGGATGGGAATCAAGAACCAGATTCAGTTGAAAACTGGTTCCAAATTGTTCGATCCATCGGAATGGTACGCCTCCAAGCTTATCGGTTCTGTTTATTGATGCAGGCATGTTTTTCTGACAGTTGTGTGTTTGCAAAACAATGACATCAAAGCCATGCATCTATGCTGCTGGAAACTTGCAACAAGGAGCGTGGCTTCATTTCACAAAGAAAGAGCACAACAGTGCTCCTTGTAATGTCTGTAAAGTGATGACTTTAAGTAAACACCAGCAATATCAAACATCTTTCTGTGCAACGTGGGCTTTAGTTTCAGGAGTGCCATGTATTTGACATTCTACGCAAGCCAAACAGCACGTCTATTACCAATAAATATTCGCTTAGCAGATTTTTACACTGACTAAGAAAACCTAAATGAAAATGAATGCTGTACAAATATTCTGTCATCTGTTTCTACATTGTGTTCAGACTTAATGACATAATAACAGTTGTACTGATGCTAAAAACCTGTGCAGGCAAACTGTTTCTCCTCACAAATTTTAAAGTTTAAGTTGTGTTCTCAACCCCACTATACCTCTTTCCTCAATGTTAACATGGACATGATATTTGACTCTGTTTACGGTCCATGTATGTTTTGGTCATTGGATTTTCCTTTCAGAAACGGGTATTAAAAAACAGAAAACGAGTGGTTATTTCATTTTCGTTTTAAAATACAAAAATTAAAATTGAAATACAAGGCGTTTTTCTTTTTCATGGTCAAAAGGGGATGAGCGAAATTAAAAAAAATATTCGATTTTCATTTTCTATTTCATATAACAAAAAATAAAATCACTAGAAAACAGAAACGGAAAAAAGGCCTGTTGTTTCATATTCTGAGACCGGATGTTGTCATTTACAGGACGGTGCTGTGTAGAAGAAACAGTAGGCTAGTAGACTGCGGTCAATCCAGCCGTGAGTCCGATCTCCGAGGTCAAATCAGCCGCACTTAAATTTCGAGAGTACGAGTATTCTCAGCATTATGGTAAATGCGGAGAAACAGCGTATTTACTTCCGGTTTTCAAAATAAAGGTATTTAGAACAGTAAGCTATAATTCGAACCTAACATTACATTTAAAATAAAATATGTTACATTAAAGTGTTTCATGTGCCCCTGATGAATAAAAAAACACTTTATATCAAGTATCTTTACTGCACCAGTGTGGAGAAATGCCAAAATAAAAGTCTCATATTTATGCCTCCAGAGATTGCATTTTGACCATATTTGAGGTACTGTAAAAACACATTGCTCAGTGTTTCCTGGCTACTGATAGTATATTTGACTTTTACACATATGAGACTACAAACATACTTAATATCAAGCATTTTTATTGTACCAATTTGGAGAAATTCAACAATAGAAGTCCATATTTGTACCTCCAAGTGGTATTTTCATATATTTGAGCTACTGTAAAAACACTTTGCTCAATAATTCCTGGCTATGGATGGTATATTTGACTTCTACACATCTAAGACTACAAGTATACTTAATATCAAGCATTTTTACTGTACCAATTTGGAGAAATTGAAGAATAAAAGTCCCATATTTATACTTCCAGATTCCATATTTTCTTATATTTTTGAGCTACTGTAAAAACATATTGCTCAATATTTCCTGGCTATGGGTGAAGCATTTTCATTATACTTCAATAATGCTGCAGTAATCATGACAAAATTTCACACAAATGTTTAATAACATCTTGATAATATAAACACTAAACACTAAACACAAAATCCTACACAATTCTAATTTGTTTACTTTTCACACAAAATGCAATGCCAGTCCACATTCTTCTTATTTTGCAGCTCTGCTGTGTCCATTTGTAGCTAAAAGGGAAAAATAATTAGTTTTAACTTCAAAACACCATTGTACCTACTGTCTCTTCCTCACATATTATTTTTTATATTATTCAGTGTGACAGCTGTTGCAGGTGGTTCCACATACAGTTTACATTTTTACAATAGCTCAAATATAAGAAAATATGGAATCTGGAAGTATAAATATGGGACTTTTATTCTTCAATTTCTCCACATTGGTACAGTAAAAATGCTTGATATTAAGTATACTTGTAGTCTTAGATGTGTAGAAGTCAAATATATCATCCATAGCCAGGAATTATTGAGCAAAGTGTTTTTACAGTAGCTTAAATATATGAAAATACCACATGGAGGTACAAATATGGACTTTTATTGTTGAATTTCTCCAAATTGGTACAATAAAAATGCTTGATATTAAGTATGTTTGTAGTCTCATATGTGTAAAAGTCAAATATACCATCGGTAGCCAGGAAACACTGAACAATATGTTTTTACAGTACCTCAAATATGGTCAAATATGCAATCTCTGGAGGCATAAATATGAGGCTTTTATTTTGGCATTTCTCCACACTGGTGCAGTAAAGATACTTGATATAAAGTGTTTTTTTATTCATCAGGGGCACACAACACTTTAATGTAACATATTTTAATTATAGCTTACGTCTCTAAATACCTTTATTTTGAAAACCGGAAGTAAATACGGCGTTTCTCCGCATTTACCATAATGCTGAGAATACTTGTACACTCTAAATTTAAGTGCGGCTGATTTGACCACGGAGATCGGACTCACGGCTGGATTGACCGCAGTGTACTGCTCTACTGTTTCTTCTACGCAGCACCGTCCTGTAAATGACAACATCCGGTCTCAGAATATGAAAAAACAGGCCTTTTTTCTGTTTCTGTTTTCTAGTGATTTTATTTTTTGTTATATGAAATAGAAAATGAAAATCGAATCATTTTTTTAATTTCGCTCATCCCTTTTTGAACATGAAAAAGAAAAACGCCTTGTATTTCAATTTTAATTTTTGTATTTTAAAACGAAAATCAAATAACCACTCGTTTTCTGTTTTTTAATACCCGTTTCTGAAAGGAAAATCCAATGACCAAAACATACACGGACCGTTTACGGAGCCAAAGGGAAATGTTTCCCTCAGTGGACACTAAAGGCCAATTCTGTTCCATTTCTGCTCTACTATTTTTAAAAGTACAGGAAATATGAAAAAAGGCATGACTGTAGTGGAGTTACCAAACTCTTCCCTTTATATTTGGGACATAGTGGCCGTGGCTACGTGTAACATGTAAGGGTGCATTTACACTATTCCTCATAGAGTCATAGTAGCTGGTTCCTTTGTACACATTTTCTAATGTTAAGCATTAACAGAGGAGCACACATGACACTGACTTTTTTTGATATACAGTAAGTCACATGGAATAAAATTAGAAGGCACCGGTGGAAAAGGTTGTTGTAGTTGTAACTGAATATAAAGTAACAGCATGAAGCACACTGGGTAAGTGAGTGTTGGACATACTGTAAGTGGAGCTTGGAGACTCTTTACCTGGTGGCTTCTTGTTCCAGCCGGGAAACATTGGGCACGTAGAACATGACTCCAAAGAAGAGCAGAGGCTCATTGCCAAACTTGTCCAGCTGCTTCTTGAGGGGTTTCTCCAGCTCCACCCAACGATGGGCCGGGGCCTGGGTCTTTCCTTGGAACCACAGCCCGAAGTAATGGGTCTGCAACCAGGGGAAAAGAGGGAAGGAGGGTCAGTGTGGCGCACAAGGTGAAGGGATGGAGATGAAGGGAAAAGAAACAGGACAAGAAAGAACATAAAGGAGAAAGTGGAGGTGTTATGAGCAAAGAATAGATCAGTTGTGTAAGCTAGAGGGAGCGAGATAAAGAGGCAGAGGAAATGACCTGGAGAGACAAGGGAGAGATGGAGGAAATGGCAGTAAATGGAAGAGACAAAGTATTGGGATGGGAAATAGGGGTTTGTAAGGATGGAGAGAAATTACTTTAGGAGGGAAATTGGAAATGAGTTGAGAAATACATTGGGGACAACTGAGCAGGGCAGAGAGGAGATTAATAAGCAGCTGAAATACAAACACATATTTCTCCTTCAAATCTGATCAAACCTTTGACGTCAGCAGCGTAACTCTATTAAACATAAATATTAGACCAGACTCATTGCCAGTAAGATTGCCCTGAGAGAGAAGAAACAGGCAATGATCCTATCTCACCAAATCAAAATGAAAACTAAGTCTCTTGCCCATTATTTTATCTAGAGATTCATATGCCATTTGAAAATAATGCAAGCTTCAGCTGTATAAACAAAAACAGCATGCTGAAATAACAGCACAAGCCATTTCAAGTGATATTATCGACCCATTTATGTTTGCCTTAACAGTTGCTAACATGCTGTATTGATTACAACACTAAACGACAAACGAAGGAGTGATTAAACAGATTAGCTCAAATGTGCTTTAACAAGTTTAGACTGCAAGAATCAGTATTTACCTCAACACTGATTAAGAATACTGATTTGGTTTCTTGACATTCAATGTTTCTGACATTGTAAGACGTAAGCCTGTTTATGTGTATCTGTGGCAGGTATCCACATGCTGTGATTTGCAACATGAGACAATTTCCTGTCGCGTTTCACTAATCAAACTAACCACCATACTCGCAACCACTGCGTGAGCATGCGAGCACCCTGCAAGACTTGTAAATTCCTCCGGATTTTGGGAGAAACAGTCATGTTTCATTGGCTTGGTGTGTGTAGAGTGTGTGTGTCATCACAAACAGGTAGCACACCTGTTCTGTTCCAGTGGTTCGACTCTACTGTAATGAAAGTTGTAAAGCTGCGAGCACACTCCTTCCTCACATACAAACAATGAGGTGTACTCAAGGCCTCGGGTAATAAAGATGAAAACAACAAATTCAGATGGACACACATATACACAGAGAGACCTGAGATAGCGTGCATGGGAGCAGACGGCGGCTGAAGCTGAGGGCGTCACACCGCCTTATTTATAACATCACTGACACCTGGCAAATACCACAACACTCTGTGAGTACGCAGAGTACACCACCCCTCTCTCTCTCACTTTGTCAGTAGCTCCAGCGGGCGCAGACACACATTTGAACACACGTATTCATCAAACTCAATCAGTCGTCAACTAAACAGACACATTCTTTCTCTGACCTGTGAACAAACTGGCCTGTCACACACAAAACAACTCCACATTGCAAACAATAGACCCCATGCAAAGCCGCATACATGGAGTTGGTAACGAGAAAGATAGTCAGAGGGAAGTGGATGTATTCTGCCTCCCAGTATGATTTTACTATGTCTACTCTGTGTGAGTACAAAGCAAGTTGCTGGTTAAGCCTTGATGCAGGGAAACGTAAACAAAATCAGGGGAAGAGAAGAAAAGGGACGAGAGAGGAGGCATGTACAGGAGGGGGGAAGTGGGGCAGGGCGATGAGCAGTATCTCTTTCTTCTGCAGTGAAAGGAGGACAGAGGTAACCATGCTTCATTAGAGGCAGACAAGGACCCTGCAGGAGAGAGACAGCAGAGGGCAGGGAGACACACACAGGGTGCGCGGAGGGACGCATGGCGATCACACACACACACAGTCCATCCATAAATGTGTGAAAGTGTCAGAGTCAATGTTTTACTTGTTTTTTCTGTGTATGATTGAAATGGATGATTACCAAGAGGTGGGTGATATGACAATAAACACTGTGAGACAATATGAATATTGTCTATTGTCAGAGATTTTGCCATGTAACAATACTGTGGTAGTGCTTGCTTTAATACATGGATTAGGGCATTATGGACAATGTTGTACATCAAAAAGCATAACTGTTTATGGCAACTTTGATTTTTACCCAGGTTTTTGCAACAATGTGATGACGAACTTTGATTTGTCAGGTGTTTCTTTTGCTAGATTAGCCAAAAACTGACATACCCATCTGTTTTTACACATTCCTCAATAGAGAGAAAAAATCCAGAAAACTGTATTAGAGTATTGATACACTGTGATATAAATGTATATATACAGTGATTATTTTCCAAAAAACCAACCCCTACTAGTACCAATAATATCTATGTGTTGGAGCTGACAATTGCTCATATAGACCTTCAATAAATGTAAAAATAGATTATATTCATATTCTCAATATAACAAGAACTGTGTCCATCAGAATTTGTTTTCTGGTACAGTGAAAACCTCTGAAACAGCACTTTGACACTAAAACTTTGATACATGAATCTGCAAGGTTAGAATTTCCCTATCTTGCTTGTATGTGTTCAAATAATTAATTGATACATAAATAAAGATAAAAAAAGAAGAAATTAACATTTACAATATGCTGACATATGAGTCCAACATGAGCATGTGCTTGGGTCACAAAGACTTCTCCTCACCTCCCGTAGCTCCAGCCTTTGGGCCACCGCCTCCAGACATTCCTGTCCCGTACTCTCCACTGACAGAGTGCATTCAATCACATTGCTGTCCAGCAGGCGAATCCGTGTCACAAAGTAGTTCTTGCTCAGGACATTGTAGCGCCGTGTGCGCCGTAGCTTCAGCCGGAAGGGCATGGCTGGCTGGAGGTCACGGCTGAGTCAAAGGTCAAAAGTCAGTTGGGAGCAAGCAAGCGGAGAGAGGGGTGGGCGGGCTCTATGACCTGGCCGCTGCCCTCCTCACTCTCGCACGACGCCAGCCACACCACCGGGTGGAGAGATGCACCCTGGCAAGGTGCTGGCCCATTCCCAAAGTTGTCCGGAGAGGAGGACGACGACGATGAGGAGGAGCAGGACGAACGGGTGCTGTAGGGAGAGATGAAAAAGAGGATTAGTGAATAACAAGAAACTCTTGAAAAATAAGAGAGTTTTGTGCCTTCTTTTTAAACTTTTGAGCCCATCGGAATGCAAAAACTACATGGTGTAAACATTCTTACTATAAAACCCTCCCACTACATATTTCCCTATATTATCATCCTGCCTACCTCCCCATAAACAAGCTGAAACAAAAAACAGACGAGGCTAGCAGAATCACCAGCGATAGCAGCAGCAGCAGCGGTGTTGGGGTTACAATGTTAGCAGAGACTGCAGCAGACGGCTTTATCCTATAGTTATGGCAGCTGCACTCTCTCTAGCCCCATGAGGCCCAGAGTCGGGCAAAGCTGGGAGACAGAGGCAGAGATGTAAGGCTATGGATGAATGGACATCAAACAGCCGAGCGCAGACATCCATCTGAACCCGGCAGCTGGCTTTGAGGAACTAATGGAGCTTCTAAGTCTCATATCTGCCTGTGTGGGAGGCCTTTTCCTTTCCTTTTTATCTCCCTTCTCCCCTCTCTCTCCGCCCCGACTGCAGCACAGTGCCAGACATTGTAGCGTACAGTGTAGACGTGTGTAAGATCACACACATGCCGTTTTGGCACATATGCTTCCACTGACACACCGTTTTATCAGCTACTGCCACAGAACAGAAAATGTGAATTCATGTTGTCAACAAGAAATTGGTAAAAGTGTCAAGTACTGCAACATAAGTGCAACATTATGAGAAAGACAAGCAAACACACAAAAACACACACACACGAGACACACAAACTGTGGTTTACGGTTGAGACAGGTCTTTGGGGAACACTTTGAACACATCTTTGGGTTAGTCATTAGTTATTAGCTTTCATGTCTGTGATGAGGAAAGAGCTTTGAAGTAGAAACACAAATATAGTTACTTTTTTTTCACGCCTGTAATATGAATTGTATGCAACTAACCTGGGTGACGAAATTTCCCCCAGGTTAAAACCCAGCTTTAATTTGGGTGATTTAGTTGACAAGCTATTTATTTTACTGAATATCTCCCTGTTGTCCACAGAAATTAATTAAAATAGCTAAAAGCAGTGTCATTTCAAGGGTGGTGGCCACTTTGTAGCCTTGTTAGACAGGAACTAGACTACAAAACCAAAAAAAAAAGGGCTCCACACCTCCTAAGCAGGGAAAGAACAGCCTCTCCTCCATACAAAGACACTGACAAAACTAGCAACCCATTACATAAACTTCAGAAAAGTGCGGGAAAACGGAGAGACAAACCAGGAAAATGCATTAAAATGAAAAGAATGGATGTAAGTAGGAGAAAAAACACACAAACAGAAGAATAAAAAGACCACAATACGGCACAACAAAGCGCCAGTTAAAAAGGGGGAGGCAGGAGGAGGTGGAGTAAAGATGGACTGGATGTGTTGCTTCTTGTCCTGGACTCTGGCAATGTGCTGTTGATAGTCAGCTTGGACCTCAGCCCAGATTCCTCTCTACCCTGACTGGAAAAACAGAGCACACCTGACACAAGTATGCACCACAAGGAAGGAAAGTGTGTGTCCATGTGTGTATGTGACAAGGCTGAGTGAGTGGGAGAAGGACACAAGGGGGGAAGGCAGTCTTGAATGAGAGAGGGTGAGAAGCTACAAACTGCTTACTTATAGCTGTGTTGTTTGATACAAATTAAATCACACTTGGTTCATGCTTGTCTTTTGTAACCAGCCGTGCCCCTTTGGGAGCTGTAACGCATTCCTTACTCCCAAATCCATGTGAGTCAGCTCATTATAGTGTGGCATCATCTTATTGATGTGTTTTTTGTTAGGTTCATGTGTCATGCTAACACACACACACAGAGCAAGAAAGCCACAGCAAGTGAATAATTGGGCTACAATGGGTCCGTAATTTAGCTTTGCTTTGGGATATGCGGCCACTGTGACCCCAGTCGTCTCCCCATCCAAACCAGAGCCCCTCAGACCCTCCCCCTCCTCTGACTCGGGCTAAGGGGAAGTGACGTCACAGGTTGACGGTAAAACCGCCCCAAAATGCCTCAAGAAATGTTCCCAAGCACACAGGCCTTACGAGATCACTGTCAACAAGTATACAGGCACAGATAAACACACAAAGCACAAATAAAGACACATACTTTCACTGTGTAGTGTACAAACATAGACATGCATGAACAAGGAACACCACAAACACACACGCAGGATCACACACACACACACACACACACAAGGTTCTTCAGAGGTTAGCCAAGGTACCAGACAGCAGTTAGTGCAACTCTAAACTAGTAATCAGTGGCATGGTTGGGAGTGTGTGGTTGAGTAAAGCCAGACAGACAGACAGACAATAGCTTGGGACGGAACCCACTCCTCGACACAAAAAACGCTGCTTCAACGCCGCTACAGCGCTGCAGCAACATTCTCTCCAGACCGTCGTGTTTATTTCCAGCGTGCAAAAACAGCGTATACGTTTATGAATTTGCACATTGTAATTTTGTGGCATGGAGAAAACGAGAGGGAAAACTGAGGGAAGAGGGTTGTTTTTCTGTTTCAGGGCAGCAAGCTTTGGCTAAATATATATGAAACCATTCCCATCTTTTGTTGTGTTTTTTTTCCTTTATCCCTCTAGACTGGTGTGGTGAGGGGCAAAAAGGTGAAAAAAAATATTTTTTCTGTGTGTTTAAAACCACATTACCGCAAGTATATCCTTTCTTAAGCACTGTTTGCAGATGCATTTTTTATGAATCAATAAAGATAAAAGATCTTTAGAGTGCAGGCGCCACCGAGTTGATTCATGAAAGGTCAACAAAGGCTACGTTCACACTACAAGCTTTAGCGCTCAATTCTGATTTATTGCTCAGATTTGATTTTTGTTAAATGTGGCCCATGTCAGATTCCAGTGTGAATGTAACCTTTAAAGACAAAATCCCAAGATAAGTCTGAACTCACAGACCTGTATACTTTATACTACTTAACTGAATACAACAGCACATTAATAAAGGTGTGTGTGCTCCCTATTGTAGTTGCAGCAGATTTTTATCAAGCATTTATGTGCTTGTGCATCACAAAGTGTCAACGTGACAAATTTAAACAAAGATGGTTAACTGATTATTCCCAGTATGTTGTAAAGATTCCCAGCAAACCCCTCCTCCAAACAGCGATTGTCCAATCATAGCTTAGCAAGTGTAGACATGGAAGGTCTGTCAAACTTCAGATTTCTGCACGTCGAAGCGGTGTGCATACCTTTGTAGTAAGACCATTATAGCGTTTCAAAAGTTTGTGTGGTCGTCTTATCTTGTGTCTAATGCATACATAGTTCTGCATACTGCATGGTTTAGGAAAATAAATCCCCCCCCCAAAAAAAAAACAAAACAAAACAAACTGGATAATTACGTGTCCCTCAGTTCTCACCATCCTAGAAAAGCCACACCAGTGTTACTCTGGTTTGACCTGTTGCTTCAGCCAAACTTTTTCTTCAGAGCCTTTTCTAATTCTGTTTCTTTCCTAGCTCAGGGGTTCCCAGGCTTTTTCATGTGAAGGAGCCCACACAGTAGATCAACATCAGACCCCGGACCCCCAATTTGAGAGGATTTTGTTTTAAGGAATCCCTGCTTAAGTAAATTTTTATATTTAGGTTTAAAGATAAAATTCTTTATTGTCAATCTCAGCTAACCCTATTTCTTCCCTTGTTGATCTAACTTCCAAAAAATGTGACACAAGTTTAAATGTACTATTCTTCCTTTTGCTGGGGACCCACTCACAGACCCCTGTTGGTCCCCGGACCCCAGTTTAAAAAAACGATCCAGCTAATCACAGTTGATAGAATCCACCAGCGACGGTTATTTCAACCAGAAAAATCAACGTACAACGGCTGGAAATGCTTTTCTACCTCTCTTTTAAATTAAAGACCCCATTGTTTGAAACATTACAAAGAACTTCAAGTGGTATCTCTTCCCCCGTTATAATTGTAAACAGCACTGCGTAGTGTGCAGGAAGGGAAAGTTTGACAGGTGTAGCAACAGTAAAGAACAGGGGAGGGGTATACCAAACAGTCAATTAACAGATGACAAAAGAAGGAGATATATATATATATATATAAAACAATATTGACACAGGTTTCCCCCTCATGGACGTGATATTTTTACTGCCGGACACCTCTCAGGTGTGGATTCAGCACACACAGGCCACCTAAGAATTACAACCAAACCAAAATAAGCTGTGACAAAAACCAATCAGCCTGGAAGTATCACACAGCTAAACCACAACCAGACTGTTACTCATCTGCACACCAAACACCACAGGCAATCACAATAAACACCTAAAATGTTTAACTTAATTACTTTTACATTATTTACACAAAGACAAGTCATAAAAAGAATTCCCGCTATTCCCAGGCATCTGTGCAGCGACAGAGCTGCTGGTGCTGCGTGTGATCCATCGCTCTCTCTCTCTCTCTCTCTCTCTCTCTCTCTCTCTCTCTCTCTCAGGGCAGACCCGTCTGTCGCTTTGCTCCATTCACATCCACACAATAGCGGGAACAAAACAGCACTTTGTCGCCTACTGCTAAGACCATTAGACGCAGGCCGCCAAGAGCTGAGGACACAAGTGTAGCGTGTGTAACTCAATCAATCTGATCTCTGTTGCTTGTCTCTGTCTGAAATACCAACATCACCCCCCTACAACCCTCCTGTTACACATGAGCGCTGTAGCAAAACAAACGGGTTAAGTGCTTCACAGCTCGTAACTGCTCTTCCTCCAGCAGACTCTTTTTACAGTTTGGTCTTCAAACAAGCAATATTCCCAAATAGTGCTATGCTTTCTCTGGATACTCCTGCTGTATGTGGAATAATCTCTCAACTATTTTCTACAATCACAGAAGGCTAAAAGAAAAAATAATGACATCTGAGAGGCTGGAAGCAGGACATTTTTGACATTAAAAAATAACTTTTGAGGATTAATCGGGTATAAAAATCGTTGGCAACAATTCAAGGTGATCTTCAACTTGCTTTATTTGTCCGGCCAACAGTCAAAAACTTAAATAAAATTTCATTTGCAATGGTGAAAGCATAAAGTCAAATTTGTTGCTGGTTATTTTCTGTCAGTTGCCAGACAGTTTAATAATTTAAGATGTGAAAATGACATTGTTAAATTGCTCTTCATGTACAAATAACAGTCAAAATCTCAAAAATGTTATATTACAATTACATAAATCAGAGAAAAACAGCAAATTCTCACACTTAAGAAGCAGAGAATGACTTAAAGATAAAGCCATCCAATCAAAATACTTCTAGTTGATCAGTCTATTAACTGACTAATAGTGTCAAATCAGAGAGTTATTTTTATGTGAGTGCGTGATGAAAAAAGCACATACAAGGACACGCATACACACACTACACAGCCATTGTTCTCCCAGCATGCCTAAGGGACAGCAGGACACACCACCAGGGCCCTCTTTGTTATCTGACCCATGTGTGTTTCTGTCTGACACAGAGGATTGTGAATGTGTGTGTGTGTGTGTGTGTGTGTGTGTGTGTGTGTGTGTGTGTGTGTGTGTGTGTGTGTACGTGTGCGCGCGCGCATTTTCATACTTAAAAAAACACATTTACGTTTCCTCACCTTAAAGGAACCTAAATATATATTCATATATTCCACATTATATCCTTATTTACTATATACTGTATGCTTGCTTACACACAGTCCTGTGCACACACACACACACACACACACACACACACAAACATACTGTCCATCACACACAAACATTAGCAGCTGCAAACAGATGGTGGAGCCAGGCGGCCAGACAGTGTTTCTAACAAGCGCATCTGCTTTTTCACTTTCCAGCTCTCTCTCTTTCTCTCTTCCTCTCTCTCTCTCAATCTCTGACACAAAGAAACACTTGCACACACACACGCATGTATGTACACATTCTCTCTACTATATGAGAGCACAGCGACGGTGACAAACACATAGAGCAGAGTGTTCGCACAGAAGTGACATCCAGACAGTGAGAGTCTTGTCTGTAGATTTACACAGTCACACACACACCCTCTCTTTCCTTCCCTCTCTTCCCCTCCATGTCTATCGCACGCGCGCGCACACACACACACACACACACACACACACACACACAAACATTTCTGCATAAATAAAGGGTTTCAACTGGGGGTGGAAATCATGAGAGCATCATAAATTTAAAAATTGTATGTATAACTCAGGCAGATTCCCTCATCCTTTTATAGCATACAGGTTCTGCTCAGGAAAGATAGGATGTTCTTTCAGCAGCTGAGTTTAAGAACATTTCATGTTTCTGTGAATAACTCCTGCTATCAGCGAGCACAACATCATGCTATTTGAAAATGCATGCATTTACGATTGCTCTGAAAAGATCAACGATATCTTCCACTAGCAGACGATAATTTAGCCTGATTCAAGGCTTTGTGTGCTGCAAATCCACTGTTCCAATAAGAGATATCTGTCCACATTTGATTATCTGTGTTTAAGTTCAGATTGAGCTCATGCATCCATATATTTTGCAACAGCAGCTAAATGCACTTTCTTACAAATGCTAATTTGTCAACTTCTGCTGCTTTGTACTTGCTGTTTGTACTAAGTTATGACTGTAGACATAAGTAGGGGACATGATAGTGAGCAAGGACAACTCTTACCACGGACAAAATCACCACAAATCTCCAAAATCTAAAAAAAGATGCTTCTTTTAATTAGAAAAAAAAATACATTTGCTTTTTTTAGCTGTAGACTATGAATTTTGGAGGACTGTCGCATTATATGTGATTATAGCAAACTCTGCTTGTGCTCCATAATATGATAAATCATGATTTTGCAGCTCCACATTGTTGACAGTGAATGTCTGATATCACACATACACCTAAATATCATAAAACCAAAGGAACTGCAGTAAGGAAGAGAAATATGTGTTCATGGGCAGCAACACTTGGCCCCAGTTGACAGTACTAGGTAGGGAATGCCCAGTGTTTCAGGCTGGCATAGCAATCTAAACACTGTCACTAGAACATGAAGAGGGGGGAGGATCAAAGAGGGATGCAAGTGAACACTGGCCAGAGACCGGTTTTCCAAACCAAAGATGACATAGTGCTGCCGACTCATCCTGTGGCAATGAAATCTGGGGATTGATGGCATGGAGCCAGGGAGAGTTTGGAGATATGATTGAGAGAAAGAGTGTGTGTATACATGCGTAGGTGTCTGAGTGTGTGTGTCTTCTAAAGGCACATGAAGCGTTGGAGATTCCCAGCACCCGAATGAGGAAAGTAAAGGTTTATGGTAAATGGCGCCATGGAGAACCGGGCACAAAGGAAAGAAGAGTTGTTTCTCAGGCTCTTATCATGTTGATACAGTTGTTCAGGAGAATAAGGAGGAGGGAGGCTGAGGGGAGGATGGAGGGAAGGAGTGAGTAAACACAGGCAGTGAGGCTGATAGCATTGACTCTCCACCTCAACAACAGAGACATGGGACCATCAGCCATCAGCCACCGTCTGTTCCAGCCAAACAACGTTGCTGTTCACATTTTCCATGCCCACCCCCTCCTCCTGGAAACCACCTCACACTCATACACCACACACACACACAAACACACGCACACACACTTAATCACCAGAAAGCCACTGAGTGTTTTCTCACAGCAGAACCCTAAGGCAGGGGACCTCAATAACAGTGAGTTTACAGGCCTATGAAAGCAGCAACACTTTGGGTTTGCTACTGCTTACATCCGGCTGCATCTAACACATAATGGCTGCAAGGAAAGGAAAAACACACACATTTTAAACTTCAGATCAAATGGAAAATGTCTCCGCTTGATGCTCTATTGGAAGTGGGCTAAATCGCATACACACTTCCTCACAAAATGCACCAAACAATATGTGTGTTACACCTGTACAGTTGGACCGCATCTTGGAAAAAAGTCAACTGTTTCTAAACTTTTGGGCTGATCAGCAGAAGGCTTGTTGTGCGAGGAAAGGGGACGGGGACGGGGGGCAGCAGTGATTGACAACTCACCTGTAGCACCTGGAAGGTGCCTAAAGGTGAGTGTGGGAGAGTTGGGCAGGTCCCAGCACGCTCTCTGCTCTGTTGTTGTCTGCTGGGCTGCCAGAGAGCACAGCACTTACACAACTCAGACTGACAAAAGCATCTCTGCAGGTCTGCATGCACGCACGCGCACACACACACACACACACACACACACACACACAACTTTCAGCTCACAATCACATACATTCACATTTTATTGGTATTTCTAGACTTTTTTATAAACTTTTATTTTTATTGCTTCTTCTTCTTATTATTATTATTTCATTAAGGATTATGACACAAATAAAACTAACATGACAATTAAAACGAATAATTGCATTTAGCAGCTAAGGACTATTTTCATTAGCAATTAATCTGTTGATTATTTTACAATTAATCCTATTAAGTCTATACAATCATTTGGTCATAATATGGTCAAACATGCCCATTACAATTTCCTAAAGCCCAAAAGTATTTAATAAATTAATCGTTTTAACACTAAATAACATGAACATCCACATGTTAAAGGGACAGAATTAAAGTTTGGGATGTTATAAAATCTGATAAATCTATAATCTTTATCATTAGGGCTGCATGATATGGTAAAAAGAAATCATATTGCAATTATTTTGACAGATACTGATGAGATATGATCCACGATTAAAGGGAATGATAATTTTTGCCTCACAGTTCAAATTAAAATCATGATGATGTGACATTTGTTTTGGTCTGTAACACACAAACATGTTTTCTTATTTCTGGAGAACAAGATTTGTAGGCTGGGAATCTCTGCAGCAGCACAGTACATCATTATAATGCTGTCATACGTTTTACTTCGATCAAAAAATTGGTTCTCCTGTCATTTGGACATTGCACTCAGCCACATTGTGATTTCAATAATAGTTCAATTAATTGTGCAGCCATATTTACTTTATATACCAACAATCTGATATTATCTCATCACAAACTCATTCAATTTGAAGAAAGGGAAAGAGGTCATAGCCTTCTCCCCCGTTATCATTTTGCCACTGCAGCGCTGCAGAACAACAAGAGAACCACAAGCTGCATTTGAAGGAATTCTGTCCATTTCTTTGCCTTCAGTTAAACAGCTACTACTACAACAACAACTTTTGCTCCATCTCTCTCGTCCTGTGCTACAGCATGAGCACTTGACCAAAATTACAGGTATGTTTGCCCCACATAGCAATTAAATGGCCTTTAGACTCAAATGACCACTGGCTACACAAACAATAGCCACTTTTCCTTTTACATGCAGGCTCACATTATGCAGTAAACACCTATTATAATCGTACCGTGCTGACCTTAAACAAAACATGACTTTGGGACATTTCAGCAGCACCTAGAAACTTTCCTTTTGTTTTCAAATACGACGGTGGGATACAGAGGGGGCAAGAAATGGCACTGCCTTAATGGAAGTAAAACACATATATTAGATATCTGACCACTTGTGTCTAAAGTCTGACCATATGGTGATGAGAAGCATGGATGAAGGCTACAGCGGAACCTACTACCCTGACTTTTGGTCCTTTAAATTCTCCACCAGTGTTTTAAAAGTGCTGTGTACTCCCAAGCCACTTGCTCTGGCACCATATAATTTACACAGCATGCCTTTGAGCTTATAAAGACAGCCAGATGTGTATGTGTGCGTACGGCCCACGCCTCCTGCAGCTATGCTATATTTGCCTTTACAGAACTCTCCCCTTTTTTTTTACAGTAATGGTGGTAGTCCAAAGTGCGTGTCCAAACACATCTTTTACATTCTCTCACACAAACGTGTGCACACAGTGGGTGAGAGCACAACAAACAGCCCAACAACAAAGTGATAATGTCATCATCATTAAAGAGAAGGGATGTGAACACACACACCCATGCTCATGTATAAGTGTAATAACATGTGCAGCTCTCACATGGTGTCTGTCTCTGCCTGGATGACTCTATGAATTGTCCACTAAAGTCACAACAAGCGTCTGTTAATGCGAGTTGTTTTACTGGGTAGAAATTGCATTTTCTAGGTGTAATAACAGAGCAGAACTGAGATAATCCAGGTGCTGTAAACTCTGCCTGGCATGTGCCAATTTGCCTCCTAGAAAGATGTCCAAACTTGATCCTAAGGGGGGTGTGGGGGTCCTGCAGAAAGGCTCCATAAAGTCCCTGTAGCCAAGTGTTTTAGTAAGTTCACTGTTATCTCATTAACTCTGGAGATTGTTGTCTGATTTGAGATGCCACCACTGGTTTCCACTTATCTACAAGTTGTTGACGACGTCACACCCAACAGCACATCTTATCAAGCGGGGAGGAGGAGGAGGATTTGGGACTCTGTATTTTAATGCATGTTTATCTGGTGGAGGACGGGGGGGGAGAGGGTGAACATATTTGGGATCCCCTTTCTGCCCTACGTGGCCAACCATTTGGCCTACATTTTAACACTGCTGATTCAGACTTTTAAAAAGGCGTTTTCTTTAACTTCCAGAGCGTCTAGACGTTTTGGGAACAATACACAGCATAACAAAACTCTCCTGGTGATGTTTTTTCTTGCAGGAAAACTCACCCTTGATCCTGCGCTACATGCCGTTTTCTGCGCCCCGCTGGAGAAACTCCTCTTTACTCGACGGCGCTGAACCTCACAGCAAATTGATAATCCTCGTTTGTTTGTTTTTTCCTGTTTGTTTGTTTTTTCTAAACTTTTAAATAAGTTTAAGTCCCCATGTGGAAAACAAAATCTCGAGAGGCTCTTGAGTCATATGAGCGCAACTTTCAGAGCAAAAAAAGTCGCAGAGGCAAGTCGCAAAACTCAGTCCTGTAGCTGCTTCAACTCCCAAGTTTTTCTTTTTTTTTGTTTGTTTTTAGAGTTTTTTCACGGACAACAAAAAGCATCAAAAACATTCACAAAAAAAGATCTCCAACTTGACCGCGGACAACAACGACGTGGTCTTCTTCTCTCGCAGGGACTCTCGGTATGTTTATAGTAGTGGTCCCTCTACTCCAATGGAGAAGTGTAGGACAGAGGGAGAGGAGCAAATGCTGCATTCAAAAGCTGCAAAAACTATTGGAATCACGAGTTTTATGATGAACTTCCCAATGAGCAAGTGTAAAGCAGTGGTTCGGGGGCCTTATAAAGGGTCGCAGGAGAAATCAAAAGGGTCACGAGAGGATTAAAAGGATAGTATAGCAAAAAGAATTCGGACTTTTTTGCAATCTTTGCATTGTTCTTGTGAATTACTGCATCATTTTAACTCTTCAGTTATTGAACTTAAACAAGGGGGGAATGGGAAATCATGTGAGAAGAGATTGCAAGAAGTCACAGTTTTGTTTTAGGAGCCAAAAAGGTCAAAACCACTGGTGTCAAGATTGTCCGAGGAAAATTAGATTTGATATGTTTTGACAGCTGATTGTGAAAGTCACGATTACACAACTATTTCCTTAAAGGACCAGCGTGTTGAATTCAGTGGCATCTAGAGGGGAAGCTGCAGATTGCAACCATTCGAATATAGCTCAGCCTTCCAAGTGTGTGAAACTACAGTGGCCCCTGGGAACCTGCGAAAAATATGAATCCCTATGGAGAGCCAGTGTTTGGTTTGTTCATTCAGGGCTACTGTAGAAACATGGCGGTTCAACATGGTGGACTCTGTAGAAGATGACCCACTCCCTCTGTAGATAAAACCTAATTTTAAGGTACCGACAACGCGATTCTTATTTTCAGGTGATTATACACAAATGAAAACATAAGCTATGTATAAATATTATATTTCATTTCTGACAATAGATCATCATAAATGTTAGACACTGGACCTTTAAAGTAATATAACATGTTGGGAAATATATATCAATTGCTTTTCTTCTGAGATGTACATGAGAAGATTGATATTGCCTTTGCATCTGTATGGTAAATAAATTAAGTCACAGCTGGTTCTGCTCATAACCCCTTTGTAATTGTTACATTTTGGGTTTTTTTTATGGATTACCTGAAGAAGATATAAGGTTTTAATTAGTGAGCATCACAGGGGCTGGTGAGTGGATTTGGACAGAGGAAGGTTAGCTGTTTGCCCTTCTTGCCAGGCTTTGTGCTAAGCTGTAATTTCATATTTAGTAGGCTATAAGAGAGTGGTATCGATGTTCTCATTTAAGTCTCAGGGAGAAAGTGTGTTTAAAATGTATAACAATTTATTTCATAGGCTACATTTTCCCCCACTGTTACAATAATAAACATCAGCATAGAATAACTTTAATACTGATTAGTGTTTTTAAAAAGCAAGTAAAATATGTGGCCTTGTTGACTGAAATCCTTTAAAAGTGTGAAAAGTCCTACATACGGTAGAGCTGAGATGTCCCAGCCGTGGTGGGGACCCTGAAGGCAGCAGTGGGTCCAGATGCCTCGGGAGGCCCGGCCCCTCTGTTCTGACATCAGACCTGAGGAATCTCAGGAATGCCGGGCTCCTGTGAGAAGTCCTCCTCGTTTAATGGTTTTCCAGGGGCCACAGAGGTGACTAAACGTCGAACAAAGGAGGTCCCCTCACATATTGATGTCCCCCCCTTTTTGCCTTTTGGCCGGGGATGAGTTAGAGCCTCAGTGGGGCAATTTATTTGCATAAGCTACATTTTTACAACATGTAGGCTTTAGCCCTTGTATAGGCGAATTTGGACTTAAACAATAGTATGTTTTTATATATGAGCTCATATCTGAGCTTATCCTAAGTAAGAGGTTTTATCAATTCATGTATTCATCTTGTTTTAATTGCTTAACATAAAAAGTGCTGTAGACTTCTATGTTAACTTACTGTGAAAGACATAAGAAGGATAGTATGTGCTAGTATATCTGATTATAAAATTAAAAACTATATGAATCAAAAATGTGCAGAGGGGCGATGTAGCCAGGACTTACAAGTTTTTTTCCCCCTATAGTTCAACCCTAGGGGACACCATATAATGACATTCTCTGATTTATATTTTAAAATATATTTGTTAGATTTTCTGTACATATTATCTCTCTACACAATGATTTTTTTAAAGCCCACTCCACATTGCAGGGAACTTCAATATGTTAAGTTCAACAAATATTTTTTAAAAACCCATCATGTGTAAGTACAATGTGAACCTCTCCTCTCATGTTAGCCTTCATCCCAGTAGAAGTAGTATTGTTTATCATTAACGTTTTGTATTTTTAGGTATATATACACTGTGATCATTTGTTCCCATATTTTTATGTGTCATTCCGCTACCTTAAACCACCTTAAACAAGTCCCATTTTATCTGATTTAATATGCTGCCTCTGCTGCAATATACTGCCACCCACTTGCTGTTATTAGCCCTTGTGAGCAGTCCATAGTGATCTCATTATACCTTTTCAAAGAAAACTCTACTAACACCTCAGCAAATGATTAATGGCTGTATCCTACAAGGATGTCACTGGAACATTTAATGGTGACACAGGAGAGAAGAAATATTAAGTTAACCATCCAGAGCCGTACAAGTTTATTAAACAGCCATTAAAATTATCTCTTGTTTGGGTGAGAGTGGGGTCCTATTGCACTGGATTATAGTGATCTTCTGAAAATTACACATACCGGTAGTCAAAGATAGACATAATTGCTGTGTATGAATTTATTTGTAATTTATTGTGGATTTAATGACCGGTGTAAATGGTCAACTGAATTCTCAGCAGAATAAAGACAATCTTATTTGTGACCAAAGTGCAGCCTCTTGTGGCTAAAACTTACAGCAGCAGCAATAATTATTCTAAAGTGTTTACAAAGCAAACACTTAAAAACCTTTATATTAGTTATATGTCTTATACCCCCTACAGTAATTATAGTGTTAAAGACATTATCTAAGCCTTACAGTGGTTCCCAAGCGTTTTCATTAAAGGATCCCTTTTCTATCATTGAGTAAACTGACGATCCCTGACTGACATATTTTATGGATAATTCATATTATATTCAATGAATAACAGCATAACAGTACAGAACAGCTGATAAACTGTACAATTAACCCAAATAGTGAATGTAATACTGCAGGAAGTTTGTGTGAAACCAACAATTTGGATGAATTTTGAGCAGATTTTCTTCCTGTGAATATTGCATCAGACACGATTTTGCCTGATATTTTTAGAAACTGTTTATACAACGCTCTGTCTGTATTATGTATTTTTTTTAAACAATCATAAATACTTGTAGCCTTCTTTTTTGACAAAGTTTGTTATCTTTGACGCTTGGCCATTGTTCTCCATTAGTCAGGACGAGGCTGTTTAGCAGAGAGAACATAGCTTGTATTCAGATCTTCACCGTGCACCTGTGAGATTTGAGTGTATACAGTGTGTAGAGTATGTTACAGTAATAACACCCAATGATCAAAACATTAAAAATAACATAACCAACTGTTAATTGTTTTAAAAACTTTTCTTACACCTACAAAATCAAGAATGCCTCACAACCCCCAGTGAAGCTTTGGCGACCCCTATAGTGGGGGTCCCGACTCCAAGGTTGGGAACCAGGGATTTAAGCAAGTATTTACTCTGATTTATTCACTTTTCAGGCAGATGGTCTCAGAGCCAAATGTTTGTTCATCTTTATATTTAAACGCAGACTTTGGAACAGTCCTGCCTAAATCAAATGATTTCTAAAATGGAAACACACATTGCATTGATTTGGCATCACCCTCAACCAGGCAGCAATATTTGTCACATTACCTTGTAATCTCATATGCCTTATGATGACATGGGATTCTTCTTCTTGAAAGAATTTAATAGCAATAATTATAATTAATCACTAAGATGGTAAACACACAAATGTTCAGTCTAATGTGTATTTTGCTAACAGACTGGCAGATGAAGGGGGCAGTCAGTAAAAGAAATAGCAGTTGGTGGTGTAACTAACCTGCTGAAGCATTTATGTTCTAATTCCCTGCTTAATGATATATTTGTCGTTATTTGCATATAAGGCTCAATGCCATATAGGTAAGTAGAGGACATTTCCAGTTGTGCATCTATAGTGCAGATGAAGAAAAAATGTGAGACATTAGTGACTTTTAACAATCACAAATGACATTAATCACAAAGATACCAGTTTATACGCGGCCAGAGGCCTCAGTCTCACTAGATTGCTGTGCGCCCTTTATGCTATTCAGGAAGGGTTTCAATTGTTTGCCCTTTGTCCAGTTAGAAAACTCTGATTAAACTGTGTTTCTGTCCAAATCCTAAAATCTCCAGGAGAAAAGCTCTGGAAAATTCAGGCATTAAGTTGTTAAGAGGCATTCTGCTATATTAATAATTAAAGGAGAATTAGTGAGCCAGGTTAGGTGGACACAACAAACATTATATAAATGGATGATACATAAGAGTAAGAGTATCTAAGAGTTTTAATATGCTTTTAAAAGAAAGGTGCAGCACAGTGTGTCTCTATGAGAAACGTGTTTTTGATTATCTATTTTGGAAAAAGGTCGAGGACTGTGCTTCCTGAGAAATCCTGTGGGAGATGCTGTGGGAGTGTAAAACACTGGCATTGTTGTTCTGACACCTTCAGTACTTTTACACCCAGTGTGAATTATGTTTTGCTTCACTGACATTAAGGTGGGTTTCAGACACCCAAAAGGGTACAAGTGGCGTTATGTGTCTATTTCTGGTGGGCAAGAGGAAGGATCTTGTAATAAAGAGACAATAGTTACAATAGAAATGGTCCCATAAAGAATGATTAAAATGTTTGGATCTCTGGCAGCAGCAGCAAGAGCATTAAAACAACACATCCGACTGGAAGTTGTCTTTAGGGCAGAAGATCCATCTGTCTACCTCATCTCGTCTTTTTCATGGTTTTATTTGCTTGCTTGTTTAGATCATTGTTATTGCCAAAGTTATTGTGCACTTATTTTTGCAATGTCAGTTACTGCACACTATGGGAAGTGTTTGATTTGTATCTGGTTTCTCTAGGTTTTGGGGATTTTTTTCTAATGACATTTTCTGAGTAACGGTCTTCACCACTGGTCTTAAGTTGGACAGCTAGATAAATTAGGTTTCCCTGCT